TTTCCTCTATGTCCTTAGGGTTAGAAGGTAATTGCCATGCAAGTAGCCCTTAGAGACCTAGCTAAGCCTTGCCCTTCCTCAGTACTACAAGTGGTTCCGAGCATGAAAAGTTTCTCTTTCACAAAGGACATCATGACCCTGTGCTAAATCTGTATCAGTTTCTTTCTCCAACTCTGAGTTCTGAAAGCTCAATTTAGCATCCAAAAAAATGGAGCTGTGTTCTTCCCCTTCTGTAGCTCATTATCAACAATGAAGAGTTGAGGAACAAGTATTGGCTGGCAATTCCCCATGATACATGGCAGAGCAGAACACAGACTTGCTTTTCCTCATCTATAAGGTCTCCAAGTTATTGACCAAAGCAGACATTTTTCAGCTGAGGTACAAATAGGAGAGAAAGTTTGCATGTTTAGTGAACTGAGTCCACTCACCCAATGTCTGGGCATGCTGCAGGTAACTCACACAGGTAAATGGCAAGGGATGATGCCTTCTCACTAATGGACATGTAACCACCTCCCCCTGCCCCGGCTGTTGGCTTCTGCTCCTGTCTCCCACCAAGCTCACGTCATGAACGGTAATCTTCTGATACATCTAGAAAGCAGCCACAGGGAGAGAGAATGTTCTTAGAGGCTCTGGCAGGAGCGTTTTGCACTTTATGTTCCCTAGGAATGTTTCTGTGCTCTTTAGGCAAATCTGATACTCTTGCTAGCATTCTACTCTGGAGTTTACGGTCTTCTGGAAGGCAAGAAAAATCCCAGAGCCCTCATCTCCAGAGATCAGGAGTCAAAAACTGATGGTCTGTGCCTGGACCACATCCAGCCAACAAATATTGATATTTGGCTTGTACAGTGCACAACTGCTTAAAAAATGAGTTGAGCTACTTGCCAGAAACTAAAAGCCAAGAGATTTTTCCCATCACAAAGAAATTGGAATTTTGGCTCTTTCAAGGCGAAGTCTAAATATTGGCACCACTGGCCTGGTTTTCCATATGGCAACTGGAATCGCATAGCCTTTATGGCGTCTAGAACATGCTTGCCCTTTGTGGGGATGAGGAAAAGGCATGCCTGCAGGCAGGTGAGTTGTAAGCTTGCCTCATCAGAGAGCCCACCTGGAACAGCTCTGCCACAGCTGCCGCCTCTTGCTTAAGCCGTTTCAGGTCCGTCTGAGCCCTTCCGACGGTGAAGTTGGTGAGCGCTGCCAAAGCCTTTGGAGGGACTTGGTAAGTGGGCACTGGCCCAGAGGGCTTCCTTTGATGTCTTTGCCCATAGAGAAGGGGGTTCAAGCATCTTCTTTGACCCAGCCCCCTGCATTTCCTGAGAAGAAAGCTTCACAATACTGTAGCAATTATGTTCACTGAAAGGGCTGCATGCTACCATGGTCCACCTGCCTTCCAAACTCCTCCTTCCTGCCCTGTGCATCATGGTCCACCTGCCCTCCAAACTTCTCCTTCCTGCCCTGTGCATCATGGTCCACCTGCCCTCCAAACTCCCCCTTCCTGCCCTGTGCATCATGGTCCACCTGCCCTCCAAACTCCACCTCCTTCCTACCCTGAGCTAATTCTGCTCTCTGTGTCAGCCTATGAGAGAAGGTATCTGAGCAGATCGTAGCAGTTTCTCAGGAATGACAGAGGAATATGACTCCCATGACACACAGAGTTTGAGGCAGAACTCATCTTTGAGTGAGCAACTTGCAGGATCTATCTCTGTCAACAGCTTGCCCCAAAGTGAGTCCTGCAGCCCCGATAATGGATGACACCAAGGACCTATTAAAAAAAATTAGTTTCCAAAATCCATCAGCGGTGTGTGTGTGTGTGTGTGTGTGTGTGTGTGTGTGTGTGTGTGTATTTAAAGCACTGAAATGACAATCATGAGGATCATTTTTGAAGGGCAGCTGTCTGTGATCCTGTAGGAATGATAAAATGAAGTGAACAGGTAGACCTTGAGCGCTTAGAAAGCAATTCATAACAAGCACACTTACGCCATAGTGAGGAGTCTGTTTAGTAGAATGGATTTCAGATTGGGGTTGACCACAGGAACTATTTCCAAGGTATGTTAACTTGGGCAAGTCATATGACTGCAGCCCTCAAACAAAAAGCAGTCAGTGTCTGTATCCATAGTTCTGCATCAGTGGGTCCAGCCACAGATCAAAAATAACCGTAGAAAAACAAACAGACGCCTAAGTATTAAAATGTGTAAACCTTTTTTCTTGTCTTTCTAGACAATTTGCTATGACAATTATTGTGTGAAATGTGTGCATTGTCAGGGCTGGAGAAACGGGTTTAGCAGTTAAGGGTGCTTGCTACTCTTTCAAAGGGTCCAGGCTCAGTTCCCAGCATCCACATCAGGGCTTTTCTCACAACTACCTGTAACTCTAGTTCCAGGGGACCCACCACCCTTTGGCCTCCCCAGGCACCTGCAGACATGCGGTGCCATCAACAAACACAGGCACACCCATACACATAAATAAAGATAAATAAAGAAATTTAGAAATGTGTATGTGTGTGTGTGTGTGTGTGTGTGTGTGTGTGTGTGTGTGTGATCTATTAGGTAGTAGCAATCTAGAGGGAATTCAAAGTGTGTAGGGGACTACATAGGTTATACGCAGGTACTATGCCATTTTATTACATTGGATTTTGTTTTTTTTTTGGGGGGGGTTGTTTTTTTTTTGTTTGTTTTTTTTTTGTTTTTTTTTGAGACAGGGTTTCTCTGTGTAGCTTTGCGCCTTTCCTGGATCTCGCTCTGTAGACCAGGCTGGCCTTGAACTCACAGAGATCCTCCTGACTCTGCCTCCCGAGTGCTGGGATTAAAGGCATGTGCCACCACCGCCCGCAATAACATTGGAATTTGATACCCACAAAAACGGAGTATCTTGGACTGTGCTCCACAGGTCAGAGAGACACGGTATCTCTGTATTTAAGTGAAAACACATTGAATGTTTAAAAATGTCTGAAGTCCCTCCTCGTTACCTTACCACGTGAAATAAATTAATAGCAACACCTCAAGTTCTTACTCTACTAAAATGGAAGAAAACCAGTGCTCTCCCAGCAGCGTTCTGAATACGTGACATCATGCTTGTGCTAGGTCCATAGAACTGCTGGACATTGGGGTGCTCAACCTGAAGTCAAGGAAACTATAAAAAAAAAATACAGGCCTTTCCCTTCATTTTTGTGTATTCTTTGCAAAGCGCTTAAGAATCCCAGCAAATGGAAGAGAGTAAAGGTTGCTTTGCTCTATAAATATTTAACAAATTGATTTTTACAGTGTAAAGTATATAAATATATGGACATCAAGCTGGTTGCTAGAGGTGTGACTTCTTAATTGGGCAGTCTGTGTGCAGAGTTAAAAATAATTTTAGGGCTTCAAATACTGCAAGATAATGCAACGGTTAAAGTATAAAGCACCTTTAAGAGTGTGAGTTTTCTGCCTGCTCCCTTTAGGAATGAGCTGCTGGCTGCAGAATCCTTTATCTGGACACCTGGATCAACCAGCACACAAAGGTCGCCATGCCAATTTCATCGACAGCGTGTTTCGCAGTGCTGGAGTCTGGGTTTTAGGGAAGGACTTGTGGTTGCTATGGAACTGTTAATAATGATTGCTGCCCGCACCTCCATTCCTCATACTCCCAATCTCCAATATAAAATCACTTAGCTTTGGGCTGTAGGGCAGTAAACAAACTTTCGAGCAGGAATTAACTGGGCTCAGGCATTAGTGTCTTAATGTAGGAAATGACTTTCATTATAACCTTTACTTAACACTGGCAGCTTGGCTACGAGGAGCTCTAGTTTTCTTACAGTGGGCAGAGGCGTAGAAAGGCCAAACTTCACTGTGGATGGGCACTGCTGGAACAGAGGTTTTCAGTGGAAAATTAATGCTGAAAAAGAGTGCATTTGTGCAGAACTAGTTTTTTTTAATCATCATTCTGCTTTTACTTTCACATATAAAAGGAACTGGTAATTAATCTAAAAACTGGATTCCTAAGTCAGAGGAAAGGATTCCTGTCCAACTAGCCATAAATTTAAAAGAAATAAATCTTGTAGAAAAATAACATTTTTTTGCTCGTTTTTGTGAGATTTGTGATCCATATAATAGAGGAATCTTACTACTGAATTCCGTTTCTAAGATGCAGATCTCAGTCCTTATTAATGTGTAACTGATGCTTGGGGAACACTAACCGAGTTCCTGAGCTCCAGGCACATAGAGTCAGAGATGTTTTATTGGATGGGTGGGAAGAAGACACATCTAATTTGGGGACTTCACAGCCTCACCAGTGTGCAAACAATTCAACAATCATACCCAACGAATAGGTTCCATCGCCGCAGATGCTGCTTGCTCTAATCCCTATGGTCTGTGTTTCCCAACAATTATCTGGCCTAATTCTCTGTTTTATTGCTTGGGATTTTAAAGCTTCGACTGTGGAACATTGAATAAATGTGATTGTCAGTAAAACTGAAGATGTTTGCATGCAGTTTCCACTGACAAGCATCTAGTGTATAGGAATAAATAAAGTATGTCTGCAATGGGAGGGAGGAATGTTTCATGGACCCATGGACCCCCAACTCACCAGCCACATTAAGTGACAGCCGCTCCACAGCAGGTGGAACAAGCCTGCCTCTGGTGTCATGTAAAGGAGTCTAGGTCGTCTATGTCACTGCGGAGGAAGAGAGCGTGTGTGAGTCCACAAACGGAACGAACAGCTCAGCAGAGGTGCAGGGGTGCAGGACTACTGAAGGTGCTATAAGACCCGGTGCAGTACCAGCCAATGCAGATGGAACTATCAAGTTAATCAAGCTGCTGCAATACATTCGGATGCTCTAGAGCTGGCAAGGTGGTGTCAAGAAAGTTAAACTTGAGGAATGAGTGTTGGATTTCTAAATGAGATCAAGGGGGAAAGAAAGAAAGCAGAGTTAATAGGGAAATAGGACCAGAATGATCAATATGACCGTCCCATTCAGAAAACATTTTGAAAGCAATTCCTTCTGCCTGTAACAAACTGACACTGTCATATACTTTTTATTTTTGGTTTATTTAATCTTATTTCACACAGGCATTGTTAGTCCAACAATTCAGTATTGGGGGTTACATTATTGTAGCAGCTGGATAGGTGACACCATCAACACTGTATTTACCCCATCCCTTCTCTTGACATCAGAGAACAGCTGTGGCTGCTGCTTGGAATTACCTCTGCTCGTCAGATCACTTGTGGTTCTGCACATTCAGAGGAGAGGATTCAAGCCCCGGGTCTCCTAGCTTTACACTGTAACTTAGCAAAACATTGGCATTTTGTAATGAAAAACAGATAAAGCAAACTTTTAGTGTGTTAGACAGAATGAACATACACATGACATAAAATACTAGTGTGCTTTTAGAAGCTAAAACACATCAATATCCTGTGAAATTAATGTATAAATAAAATATTACCTGGAATGACATTACCATTGTGTATAAAAAAAGGAAAACTGGAATTTTCTCTTCCTAAACATGCAGGTTTGAATACCTTATAAACCTATATCATATTTGGAGTGGAAAGGTCACTTTGAAATGGAAAGATATTAAAGAATTGTGTGACCGGTCTTCCCATAAAACAGTACATGTTACTTATTATAGCCTTACGTTATTCCAGTGTTAAAGAGACAATATCTTTTTTAACTTCTTCACAGAAGGGTGTGTACTGCCATTTACTTAGCAAGAAGAACCACAACTTTTATACCAGAATATCTGGTTATATTATTTCATACTAGACTATGAAACTATTGGGAAGATAAGACATATTTTTGCAAGATATATGAGCTTCTTTAGTACTGTTATTTAAAGAGCAAAACAGATTTAAAATGTCAATACTTTGCTTTCTAAGCACGACTTTTTTTTTTTGGTTTTCTCTTTCTCATCATTCTTTTCGGCATTCTTTGTTTTCTATTTCTCTCATTTTCCAATCGCTTCACTCTAGTTTTCTAGCTTAATCGCCCCCACTGCCCTTACCTGACCATCATACACAGCCTTTCAATCTCCCCCCAACTTGTAATAAACAATGGGTTCTATAAGAGAATAACCAGCTGAGCATTTTGCTCTATCTTTTGTAAATATATATATTTTTAAATACGGAGTTATATCCTCAGCTTACAGACTAGTGTGTATTCTATATCACATATTTGAAGAGTAACCATTCATAGAATACGGTAAGAATTCTCTACACAACTGCGACACTATTCAGTAAGATGATAGAAGGACCAAACACAAATCACATTTCATGACTACTGAATATCTTAAATATCCTTTGGTTTTTCTGACTAAGCCAAATAGATTGGTGATTTTTTTTTTTTAACTGCTCCGTTTCTTTCTCCTTCCAATCTTGGACAAATTCTGCAGAAACAGAACCTAAGAGCCAATTAAAAGTGGAATCCCTGGCGGTTTGCTTCCTTGATCCCATGTATATCTGAGGGTCCAGTACGACCGATCATGACGGCCTGGACAGTCACAGCGTGCGGAGCAGGCAGAGATGGACAGGTGCAGAGGTGGTTTCGGGGATGCCGACCCATGCCCCTGAGCCAGCGCTGGGTTCTGCAACTGGACCAGGGCTCTGGCTGGCACTCAGGCAGTCTGGTCCACGTGCAGCACCGCTGGCTGGACCGGTTTCTCCCCGGATCCTTCCATCTCCTCGGAGACGACCCCGTAGCCGCTCTCATAGCGCACCTGCTGCGCCTGCTGCAGGCTCACCGACTCCTCTTCTTCATCTTCCGCGATGGTCAGGTCGGCTTTGCTGCCCAGGCCGCCCCCGGAGCTGCTCCCTTTCAAGGCTGGCTTCTCAGCATCTTCTGCACTGCCCTCCGCCAGGCCGCCGGGGAGGGATGCTTCGGAAAGGCCCTCGGTGAGGGAGCCCTCCTCATGGTCTTCCGACTTGATCTCGTTTTCTGCAGAGCTTTCTCCCTCCCGGACTTTCTTCCTGCCGAAGGAGAGCGGAGAAACCTTGAAGGGGGAGCTTTTCCCTGAAGACGCCTTCTGGTGGTTGGGTGTCAGCGATTTCTTGATCTTCTCTCTCCTCTCCACGGATACGATCTTCGTCCCCAGCTTGTTCATCTTTTTCTCGATGTTCTGGCGAGAGAAGGCTTTCTTGAGGCTATCCACTTTCCTCAGGCTGGACCTCTTTATTTTCTCCGCCCTGCTTTCCTCGGCCTTCTCCTCCGCGCTGTCTTCCAGGGCTTCCTCGTCGCAGGGCATCTCGTCCTCAGAGGAGAGGTCCACGTTGTGCAGCGTGTCCTCCAGGGACTTGTTCTCGTCCGCGAGCTCCTCCTTGCCTTCCGCTGGGCCAGGAACCGGCTCCTTCACAAACACGCTGGCAGGGATCTCACTTTCCTCCTGAAAAGAAGGGCAGCGTGGGTTTACGACATGGGCATCGTGTGCAAACAGTCACTGCCGACTGCTGTAACTGGGGTGTGTATTCTGGGCCGTGGGAATGGCAGAAGCAAACGTGCTTTTCTGGAATGGGAAGCATTCACTCTGGTTTGGGCCCCGTCATTGCCCGTGGGCCGGGTGGGGCCAGGGCCTGCCAGCCGGACTGCCATAGGGTAGCTGGCAAAGGCTCTATCGGGGACGGGCAGAGGGAAGCGGCCTGACTCACAGTCCAGGAAGCCGCCTCGATAGAGAAAGCGAAGTCAGTGACAGCCCTGTGAACCCAGAGGCCCCCTCTCCTCCCTCCCTTCCTTGTGGTCGGGGCCACAGCTGCCACCGTCCCACTACAAACGCCCAAAGTTCAGGCTGGAACACAGAAACCGAGGCAGAGGAGAGCACTGAGGAGTCCTTAAGTGAAAAACAGTGCACAAGCCTCGATTAGGTCCCTCCTCCTCCCCTGGGCATGGGAGGGGATGGTTGGATTGACCAGTATCAACACATGCACACACGCTCTCACACACACACACACATATGTACATGCACTCATACACACACACACATACATACACACATACATGTGCACACATACATATACACAATACAGATACACACATACACACATATGTACATGCACTCATACAGACACATACACACACATACATATATACACAGACATAGACATGTACATGCACTCATACACACATACATACACATACATGTGCACACATACATATACACACGTACATGCACTCATACATACACACATACATATATACACATACATACACATGCACACATGCGCGCGCACACATACACACACACACACACACACACACACACACACACACACGTATTGAGTGACGTAAGTGAGGATTACCCTTCCTGGTGCCTGCTTACAAAGCCACGTGGGTCAGGATGTGTTTTGTGGCAATCAGTAAGGGAGTAAGTTGGGGCAAAATGTGTGACCAGATGAGGACAGGGCGGTGTCAAGCCTCTGGGATGAAGCAGCTTCTTTGGGCAGTGAAGCTCTGGCCTCACCTCCAGCTGAGAGTGAGGAGGGAAGCTGGGGCACCTACCCCCTTCAGGGAGCCCCTCACACAAGCAAGTGCGGCCTCCCACAGGGTCTCAGGGAACGGTAGAGACAGACAATCCGTTCCCAAGGAGCAAAGTTGCTGAGGGAGAGATCTGAATACAGACAGATTCAGGCCACACAGCACAGGAGCACCTCTGAGTTTTAAGTGTTTTCTCGTGCTTACGGTGACTCAGGAATCCATTATCATGGTGCTCTCGTGCCTTCACAGAAAACAGCAGCACGAGATGGAGAGCTGTGGCAGGAGGCCCGAGCGTCTTCGCTGCTCTGCTAAATGGTGTGGAGCTTCAGCAAACAGCTTAATCTCCTTGGGTTCCTGTTCCTTCCAAATATGAATCAGAGGATTTGACCTAGATTAGCAGCTTTCAAAATGCACTCTCAGGGCCACTGGGGGGTTCTGTGAGAACGTTAGCAGGGCACGGGTCCAGACGCCTCTCCACCTATGCGGCACCCGGAGTCTCCAGGTGACCTGATTGCATCCCAGCCAGCCCAGCACACTTGGAGGATGGAAAACTAACGGCCGTCTGTGGACTTACATTCTGTTTGTCTTCCCCGACGACTACCTTTCACAGTGAAGGGAGGTGTTACGAAGGCCGCTGTGAGAGAGAAAACACACCAGCCCTACACCCTGCATCCTACAAAGCCAACCTGCTGGACAAGGCATGGCCACTGCACAATAGTGGTAATTAACTGCTTTCTGATTGGTTGGATTGAGGCCCGCTCCATAGGAAGGGATTTTATGTCTGGCACTATAACCCTGGTTGAAGCTCATGGCTGGGGAGGTCATGGTCCCTAGGATATATTCTGCTATTGTTATTGCTAAATGGTTACTACGTGAAAGTAGCTTTTTAATACTGATGCTTGTAATCATAGACCAGGGCCGTTCTGGGCCTTGGTGGGAGAAGTTTTTCTGTGCAGTGGGCAGCCGTCGATAGAAAGACAGACAGCTGGTCACAGCGCTGAGGATAAGAGGCTGAGTGCTTGTCCCTAAATGCGTATCTCTATCAACCTTCCTCCTGTCATGGAGGCTCAGGGAACACCGAGGCAGGGGGATGGAAAGGGTTTAAGGACCAGAGGAGAGGGAGAAGTGGTGTGAATATCTGTCTTCTGTACGTTGTAGCTGGAGTTTTCCTGGTCCTGCCTGGCCCACAGTCAGGACAAATCTCTCTCACCCTCCAGTCCCACAGCCACTCAGACCCAACCAAGTAAATACAGAGACTTATATTGGTTACAAACTGTACAGCCCTGACAGGCTTCTTACTAACTGTTCTTCTATCTTAAATTAACCCATTTCTATTAATCTATAAGTTGCCATGTGGCTCATGGCTTACGGGCACCTTACATCTTGCTTTTCATGGTGGATGCTGGCAGCATCTCCCTGCTTCAGCCTTCCACTTTCCAGAATTCTCTTCTCTGCTTGTCCCGCCTATACTTCCTGCCTGGCTACTGGCCAATCAGCATTTTATTTATACAGAGCGATATCCACAGCAGTATGTGACACAAGTATCACACTCATGAACCCACAGCTGTTGGGGCTCCCTGCACAAGACCTGCAAAAGATAAGCCTACCCCAAATTTCAGCATAGATGGTGTAGACGATCACCCAGGCCTCAACCATAACCGAAGAGCTATTGACAGTGCCTAGTTCCCGGGTGTCCTTTTGGGCGTGGACTTTTGAAGAGAACAGCATGCCAGGCTCCAAGCTGAAGTGGGCTGTGACTCGCCGGCACGTGCTTCCTAGAAGGATTTTTGTCTCTTCTTCACCACTGGCTCACTACATGTAAAGTTTAGCAACTGCTTCCTGGATGAGCCCCTTGGGAAAGATGGCCTCCTAAGAAGGTCGTGAAGGTGCCTGAGGTGTAGCAGGCTCTATGTGGGGCAGGCTGGAGGGCCGGGAGAGAACGGCCTGCTCAGTTCTGTGTCTAGAGGGAAGTTTGCTGATTGCTGGTAGCACTGTGGAAACTAGGGACGCCAAGGCCTGAGGGGAGCCGCCGTCTCCCTCGGAAAGAAGGGGTTTGTTTCCAGCGGATGGATGAATATTGCAGAAGTAGTTGGGGCTCTGATGTTTAGTCCTGAAGCAGAATTTCTCCTGGGGTTTGATTAAGAGGGTTGAGGAGGTTCGGCAGTTGTTGCTTGCAGGGAAGGATAAAAACCAAGAGCTCAGTGAAATGTTATTAAAAGTCCTTAGTGAGGAGAGATGGAATCCAGGCAGGAAACTGCAAAAACTAAGCCTTAAGGTACATTGTCTGTACCATAATCTCCCAGGGCAATCAAAAGTTGCAGATGGGGTAACTTTCTGTTCTTCAGTTTTAACAAAAGGTAGAATTGAAATAAATTTCTGTTTTCCTTAAATGAAAATTTTATTATTACCAAAGCAGAGCTACGGTCGAGTCTTATGGCTCCTTTGTCCCTCTTATCATGAATCTTTCAAGGAGAGCTCTGAGGAGAGCGGATTAGAAGGTGAATTGGAATGTCTGTGATAGATAGTCCAACATGGGGGTGGGGCAGGGGTGCTGAGGGAAGGTGGGAACCCAGCTGAACTCTTTTGTGAAATGTGAAAATTTACAGGGAAATTTACACGTGAACTCTTTGTTGCCAATTATGGAATTAACTCAGCAGGAGCAGAGATAATCCAGAGTGAGTCGGATGTGTCTTTATGCGACTGGAAACTACTGAGCAATGTCTTCTTGGCCAGCTGCTGTGTCTCAGACGTCGCTTCAATTACCCAGGCAATATTTTATGTTCTGTCTCCTGGACAGGGTTCTGTATTTGGTGGGTTCTTTTGGCATCTTCTTGGAAGGCAACTCCTTTCCTTTCGCACAGAAGTCCATGAATTCCTGAGCACATAGCTCTCTTTTTTTTTCCAAAGCGCTTGTTTAGAATCAGAAAAATACCAGTTCCCTTCCTTCAAAGTCACTACCTTACACAAAGCCTGCAGAGCGAGCGTGGTGGGAATTCAGTGTGACTAGGATCTCTCATCAGTGCCTGTGGTCTAGTGTGTGGTCCTTTTGCACACCTCCGTGAAACACACTAGGTCTGCCAGTGAGGTGGCACTTCTTTGACCACCCTTCAGTTGTGATGTTTGTGACCTGCTTTCTCTTACAGATTCCCAGACCGACAGCTGTTCTAAGAGTGAGGCTTGAGTATACACCCTAGTTCTGCTGCTGCTGACTGAAGCTAGCTGCTGATTTGTCTACCTGAAATGGCACAGAGAATCCCCGCGGATTATTTCCTTGGGCAGCTCTACCTAGGAGAAGCCCCCTAGGAGCAGGTGGTTATTTGTCCTTTGTTTTCAAAAAGGTCCTCAGCCTCCACGGATGCAGGTGTTCCTGGTTCTGACCTTTAAAAAGGACCCCTAGGAGGTTTTCAAAGGAAGGGAGCACTAAACAGTACACTTCAAACATATATGATGGATATGCTTGTAGCATATGGGAGAAAGGCATGGAACAAACTCCCGAGGAGTAGCGTTTTCTCCTTGAGTTTCAGCCTGTTTGCTGTTACATTGATTCTCGTGAACCAACAGTTCCCCCCGGAGTGCATGTAAATATCCATGCAGAGCAACCTCCAGCCTGCTGGACACTTCTTGGTTTGAAGCTGATGACACACATCTTCTCTGCACATATATAGACATGCAAACTTAAGAACAAAAGACTCCGTGACCAGCATTAGAAAAGGAAATCAACTTTTAGTCCATTAAACCCCCTAGAGAGGAGAGAGAGGCCAGCTGTTCACTCTCCTGCCATCCCCTTCTCATTCCTGTTGTTAGATAAAAATAAGAGGGGCAGGGTGGCATCCCGCTGGGATGTGAAGAACACAACTTTGTGTCCATGGAATACTTTATCCAATAATCTCCAAATACTAGTTATTAAAATGAAAC